GCGTCGACGAAGGTACCGGTGGATCTCCAAGATGCCATCTCCTGCTCCATGGAAGTTATCCACTGAGAGGCCCAGGGTCCCGAGGTGGCCTCAGCGTAGGTGCGAGGGGTCGGGATGTCAAGGGTGTCTGGGTCACCCTCAGGGACTAGCAGCATGGAAGAAAGTTGGGGAGCGGCCTCTGACAGGAAAACAAGCTCGTACTGCCTGTCCTCTAGGACGTCACTGCGAAGGGCAGCCACACCCCCGACGGACGGAGGGCAGGCAGGGTCAGAGACCAAAGCGGTGTTGAGTCAAGGCGGCGGGTAGCGGCGAAGTCAGTGACAACAGCGACAAGAACGTCAAGGCTCGAGATAGGAACAGACGGGTCGGTAACGAGGGAGGCAAGGACTCGAGGAACAAGGGGACGTGTGGCATGGAGGAAGTCAGAAAATGGAGGTGGGGCCAAAGCGAGCGACGACGGAGGAGGAGACGGGAGGAGCGGAGGAGCACGCGACGCGTGGGAGCAAAGCAACATAGGGTGAGAACGCGGAACAAGGGAGGTAGGACGAGCACGAGACATACGACGCGTTTAGACGTGAGACGGAGGAGCCGGGTCAGGAGAGAGGGGAGGAGACACAGGAGGAGAACGAAGAGGGAAACGAGCTGGAGAAGAGTCCACTTGAGGAAACACAGGGCCGTGGACCGGCAGAGGAGGAGGCGGTGGCGATCGAGGAGGCACCGGCAGGCGGCCAGGAGAAGGAAGGCCGAGGAGGAGAAGAGCGGACACCGTCGGCGACGGCAACGACTGCTGCCCGACGCCAACACCAGAACCTCCAGCAGGACCACGGCTCCCTCCGTGAAGCCCCACGCCAGCAACCGCAGAACGGGAACCCGCTCCAGTACCCGCTCCAGCACGCTCCCCAGTACCCCCAGAATGCACAAACCCCAGCAGCGGTGACGACGGCGGCTGCGGCTGCGGCGGCGACGGCAGTTGCGGAGGCAGCTGCGGCTGTGACAGCAACGGCGGCGACAGGGGAGGAGAGACCGGGGCGAGGACAAGCAGGGAAAGGGACTCCGCCGAGCTGCGAGAGTCAGCAGACCCCTTGGCAGGGACAACCGACGGGAGGGGGGTGGCGTGAGACACACCAGATGGGGCAAAGCGGGGAGGGGGAGGAGCAGGGGTGACCAGGGGAGGGGGGGGAACTAGGAACTGGGGGGCAGTGACTTGGGGACCACGGTGGGGAAAGCGGTGGTAGAAGGAGACGGACTCGTCAAAGGTGACGTCGCGAGAGTGAAAGAAACGGTGAGACGGCGGGTGGTAGGAGGCACGAACGTGAGCAAGGCAGCCCCAGATGTGGAACACAGACGCGTCACCAGGAGACTCGGTCCAGAGGAGGGTCGGCGAAACCTGCGGCCGCTGAGGGTGCGGCCACAGGTTAAGCTAGTGGGCGGCGTAGCGAATGGCGAATGGCCACAGAGAATGGGGTGCACCAGCATGGATCATAGAGGTATGAGCCACCTCCATGACCAAGCCGATGCGTCGCTCAGTGACCCCATTCTGCTGCGGGGAGTCTGACAGGGTGTATGTCGGGGTGATGCCCTCCGCACGACAGAAGCGACCAAGGCAGCCAGAGGCGAACTCGCCACCATGGTCGGAGTGAAGACGCAACACTGGGAGACCTCAGTGCATACGCGCAGAGACAAGCCACGGGATAAGAACGTCAGGCATGTCGGCCTTGCGCTCCAGGGGAGATACGATGGTGTAGCGAGTGTAGTCATCGACAAGCACTAGGAAGTAACGCTAACGACGTGGCCCATGGACGGGGCCGGTGCCCCAGACGTCCATGTGCAGGGTTTGTAACGGTGTGGTGGTGGGGGGGAACGAGGAGGAGTGAGGGGCACGGCGGAGCCGGCCCTCGACGAAGGGGGTGCACGGAGGTGCTGCCGGGGAGGGGAGCGCAGGGAACGACGCAGGGAGACCTAAGATAAGACCGTGCTGAGACATGTGAAGGAGACATGTGAGGGCGGGGTGACCTAGGTGGTGGTGCGATAGAAGCGACGGGTGAGTAAGCGACTGACGCGAGCAAGCCGCAGCAACCTGGGTAGACGCTGCCACTTGGGGGGGCATCCCAACCGGGGGGGACATGGTGTTCAGCGTAAATAGGCCAGAGACCAAGTCTCGGGGGAACGTGGTGAGGGGGGCACGACTGGGGGCCTTGGTACAGATAGCGTACCTCTCGTGATTAGGGAACGTAGTGGTGGTAAGGAGGTCCTGAAGACAGCCGACACCAACTAGATTCCGAGAGAACGAGGGGATGTGCAAGCCTGTAAAGGAGCCCATTGGAGCTGCCGGACAAGGGAGAGTGGTGGAACTACGAGCGACTACTAGACCTGAGAAAGGGTGTGCAAGGGTAACTGTGGCAGGGACGGCAAGCGGCGTAAGCATAGCGTGGTTCCGAAAGAAACACCAAAACGCGTCAGTGTCGAGAGTGAAGGAGAGCACGGCAATGGCGCTGGGGGCAGAAGAGCTAGGGTTGAGCCAAGGCTAAACAAAGCAAAGGGTCCTACGCCTGACGCAGCAGGGGAGCCTAAACCAGGCACACTGGACAGACCTATACTAGGCAACATGGGGTAAGAGGAACCGGTCACACTAGAGTCATCGGCATACAGCACATACAATGCAGAGCTAATCTCATCCATGTCCATATCAAATATCCTAACACCGCGGCGGAGCAGACTGTGCCAGTCGGAGAGGTCCGGCGCGGGGCCGAAGCAGAGACGAAACAGGCCGTCCAAGCGATTGAAATAGCGAGTGGGGGTATGACAGGTCATACCGCACACGAGGCCGTGGCGAGGACCGGTCTGGAGCTGGTACTGACAGCGCCCGTCACTCGCACCACCACCCGACGACGAGCTACGTGCACGACCACCACGACGACGAGCTACGCGCACGACCACCACGACGACCACCACCACCACCAGCGCCAGGCCACCCAGGCGGGAGACGGCCGACCCTCCGTTGCGACTGCTACTGCTGCTGGTCAAGCTGTGGTGCCTGCTGCTGCTCCCGCTGGGGCTGCTGCTCCGAGGCACCAGCCCCAGCCCCCTCGTCGGTACTACCGCCAGCGGATGAACCACTGCCACCACCACCTCCACCCCCTCCTCCACTACCCTTGCCGCGCCCAACCTTGGGGCGGCGAGCCTTACCATAACGGGACTGCGCTGCGGCCACCGCGGCAGCCGTCTCAGCAGCAGGGGCTGTCTCAGCTACAGCCGCAGAACCGTCAGAGTAAGTGCAATGGGCGGGAGCACAATCTTGAAAGATAGGGACTGGCGCAGTACCGCTAGACTGGGCGATAGAGCACTGACGGGTCTCTATGGCAGACAGGGTGTCGACAAAGTCGGAGAGGGTGAGGCGAGCGGGGTGCAGACTAAGAAATTGGTCGCGGGCAGTGGCAAGGTGGTCGTGGAGGCGGGTGGCAAGCAGGTAAAGGGTAGAGCAGATAGGGGGCTAGAACACACGAAGCTGGGCCTCAGTGCAAGCAGCGCGCCATCTAGTGTCGAGCGTGCACAGGTGCGTGGCCAGGTCAGCGACAGTGGGGAAAGATGCGAGATCAGGGAAGAGCATGGGAAGGATCAGGTGGCTGACGGAAGCAGAGGACGGGGTGCGCAGTCCTGACCGACTGAAAGTGGGGGCGCTCAGACAGGGGGAGGGCATGGCTAATCGCGAGCTGAGCGACAGCGTTACGCGACAGCCAGACAGCACGGGCAAGGGCAGCAGCGGCGGCGGACTCACGGTCAGCAGACGTGGGGTCAGCGGGGAGAGAAAAAGGGGGGTCAGAGCAGGGGAGCGTACCGTCAATGTGGACGGCCACGGAGTGGCCGTCTTGCCGCTGACCAGTGAGGTGACGGCGGAGGTTGACGAGCCATGAGTCGAACTCACCCGGCTGACCCTCCGTGTCAAAGCGCAGCACCGAGTCCGCCATGAAGGCCGATGCAGCCGCGAACAGGCGGTGAAGGGCGGGACGGAGCGACGAAGAGCAATGGGGAGGAGTGCCACCCATTGTACAGCGGGGCGGCTAGGTGACGGGGCCGCGGGGCCAGCGGGGCGGCTAGGCGCTGGGTGACGGGGCGACAGGGCCACGGGCGGCTAGGCGCTAGGTGACGAGGCCGCGGGGCCAGCGGGGCGGCTAGGCGCTAGGTGGCGGGGCAACGGGGCCACGGGCGGCTAGGCGCTAGGGAACGGGGCCGCGCGGCTAGCAAGGCAACGGGGCAGCAGGGCCCTTGGGGCGGCTAGGCGCTAGGCGACGGGGTAGGCTAGGACCTAAGGCGGAAGCGCAGGTGGGCGGGGGGGACCTAACCTACTCATGATACCATCTCAAAGTTAGAAGTGTTAACTAGAATGAGAGTATACTGGGGTATATAGCTAGTGGGTTGCCCTCTCTATGGCAAGACCCTATGTAGTCTACTAAACATATACAAATATGTTTGACAGAGAGGACGCTGCGGAAGCGTGATGACAGGCAGGATCGGCCTGCTCTAGTTCCATGTCGAAATGAGGAAGAGAAGGTAGCTAGGAAGCCATGAAAGGTCGAGAGGTTTTAGGTGCTATGAGAAAATGTCGAGAGAAAAGAGGGTAAGACTAGAAGAGAGAGGGATACAAGGAGGGAGTTGTACCTTCTACAACACCAAGTGTTGTGATAAATGAAGTTTTGCATTCCTGCAAGTTCCATTATCAGTGTAGTTAGCAGTATCGAGTTTCTCGGTAAGGAAACAGGTCCGAGTGCTGACGTCAGCAAAACATCGCGGGTCTCGGGATTACGTCAGCATATCGTTTCAGTTACGCAAATAGGCGTAACGAACCGCTTAAGTCACGTGAACAGTCGCGACCCTATAGTATGACGAATAGGTCGCATAGCGCGATAGCGACGAACAGATACATTAGCGAACAGGTACTTTCCCTAGAGCTATAAATCCTTGTAATGCCTTTCTATTATTAACCTTGACTTTACACAGAATTATATGCTCAGGTTATTCAACCTTCGACTACCCACAAGTTCATGTGCTCAGGTTCACTCTGATAAGACTTCCGCTGTCTTACTAGTCTACCATTCCAGCAAAGATCCTTGGTTAAGTACCCGTGTTAGCAGATTCTATACTTAGTCTACTATAACATCAGACGATTTATTTCACCAAGATCCAATAGTGTAGCATATCTACCAAGCCTAAACATATATATATATATATATATATATATATATATATATATTGACTACCCTACAAGCACACTCGAACATCGCATAGCCACAATGAACACCAAACATATTCATCACCTCATTGAATGTCAGTGCAAGACAAATGTTGTACTAGCGGAAGCTTCTGCCATCGCCGATCAAGCGAGTACGGTCTACAATGTTGAAATCTGAACTAGGAAGAAAAGAGGAGGCCGCCATGAAATGGCGGCCAAGGGTTTAGCTAGGAGAGTAGGCGAGAGTGTCGAGAGAAAAGGGAAATAGATTAGGAAGAGAGAGAGTACAAGGAGGGGTTTGTACCCTCTACAGTAAGGTTCGGTAACCTACCAAGCCTAACAATTATATAAAATATAATTTGAACACACCCCCTAGGCTTGGTAGTGGCCAGCCCACACAACCCACACACACACCCCCTAACCCCGGACGCCCTCATTCTCGTGAGCAGCCGGATATCGACCCCTCGTGCTAGGCTATGACACCCCCGGTCGAGAGGCAGCTGGCCGCATCTGGGCGGCCTCAATGACTACAGCGGCGGAGCTCGTGCTCAAGGCGGCTGTGTCGATGAGGACAGGCGGCGACTGCGGCGGCTGAGGGCTCTCGGCGGTGTGGCACGGGCTGGCGACGACTGAGCCGAAGACAGCAGCTACGGCAGGAGCAGGAGGAGATGCAGGGGAGGGAGAGGTGGTGGGGCTGCTGTGGTGGGGCTGCAGGACTTCAGCGCGGCGCCATAGGCGCGGCGCTTACTGGCGGGAAGAGGAGGCGGGACGGGGCCCAGGAGGGGCGCGACTGGGCTAGGAGGCACGGCAGGGCCCAGGAGGGGCGCGACGGGGAGGTAGAACGGCGGAGCCGCCACGTCAGGGCGGCAAGCCCAGCACGGCTGCTCGACGTGGCAGCCATGCGACATGGCCGCCACGGGGGCACGGCAGGAGCGACGAACGCACGAGAACGCAGCGGAAAGCACGGAGGGGAGCAGGCCCAGGAAGAGCATCTCGCTCTCGATACCATGTTGAAATCTGAACTAGGAAGAAAAGAGGAGGCCGCCATGAAATGGCGGCCAAGGGTTTAGCTAGGAGAGTAGGCGAGAGTGTCGAGAGAAAAGGGAAATAGATTAGGAAGAGAGAGAGTACAAGGAGGGGTTTGTACCCTCTACAGTAAGGTTCGGTAACCTACCAAGCCTAACAATTATATAAAATATAATTTGAACATACAATACTGCGTTCCTATCGAATAGCAATGACATGAAGTGCGCTTAGCATGATACTTCACATATGTTTGCAAAGACTTTCTATTACAATTGGGCGTCTAAATAATTATGTAATAGACGAAGCACTACCCTCGGAGTTTGCCTCAATTAGTTTTGAGACGACATTGGGATCAGACCTTCTATTGATCAATTTCACCTGATCAGGTGTCTCCTCTGAATTCTGGACAGACTAGAAGCGCACGGTTCGTAGAAGAAAGTTCTCAGATCACAGAAGAGCATACTCTCTCCAATTTCCAGGCGTGTATGTCGTCTGAGATTTATAATTAAGATCATGGCTCTCGCTCTCCTGTGCCTCGAATGCACGCAGCGATTGACGTATCGTGGATCAGTTTCACATTGAGGATTGGAGGATCGTGACCGATTCGCCGGGACGGTTGCGCGTCCATTCACAAGCTGTTTCTGGAATCTGGAGTAAACTCGGAAGCATGTGTCACTATCCACGCTGGCCCTGCTGTACCGACCAGCTCTTCATGAAATTCATGAAGTTTCGATGAGATTGTGGCGGATAGGACGGGTTACAGGACGGTTCCACGTCTATTCTCGTCGACGTTCACGTTCTCAGTCACACTCACAACCACGCGGCAACCACCGCCAAATTATAACCTAGGAGGAACCTACCAGCTGGTGCCATTCAGCCACTGAATGGCTCGTCGCGGACCTTCCTAATCTCTAAAACGTCTAATTTGGCAGAATTCCGTTCACAGCCGCAACAGCCATGCGGTGCAAAATAGAATTACCGCAATTTAGAGTCTAAGAGAAGCCAACCTTCCAGTCGTCACCATTCCGCCTTTCATCGCTCGTCGCTGACCTTCCTATAAGTCGCGAAAATGTCGACTCAAAATCCTAGCTGGGGTCATTCAACCACTGCCGGCTAGTCGCTCACCTCCCTGTCGGTCGCAAAATCGTCTGATTCAGCCGAAATCCATTCACCGCTGACTTTGGAGTCGACTGAAAAGCCTAGCTGGGGTCGACTGACGGCGCGTAGCTGACCTCCCTCTGACGGTCGCAAAATCGTCTGATTCGGCTGAATTGCGTTCCGCGCTGCTGCAGCCATGCGGCGGCCACCGCCAATTCAGCGCCGGGGAGGAGTGACCAACCTCCCAGCTGGTCCCACGAAACTCTCTCTCTCCTCGTCCTTCGTCACAACTGGCGGCAGCGGCGGCGGCGGTAGTGGCGCTGGCATATCGTTGCCTTCTCTCTTGTCGTGGAACGGAGGGGCGACAGGGGTAACAACGAGCTTATGGCAGGCTGCTGGCACGTGGGCTCGCGGCCGATTCGCTGCAACGCAGAGCAGCTCCAGTAGCAGCTATCCAGAGGCTCTTAGCAGCTCGAGTAGCCATCGCGAGGCTCTTAGCAGCCATCGCGGGTTTGAGGCAAGAGGGTCTCTTCCAGTTTCAGTGGAGGGAGTGATCTGTGGTGCGCTGGTGGCTGTGATTGCCGTGCTTCTGATTGCCTCGGCGGTCCTTCTCCTTCCATCAGGCCCTGCATTTGTTGCTCCTTCCAAATTATCTGTGGCAGAAGCTGGAGCAGGCTCACCTGTAGCGGCGGCATCAGCTTCACAGGCGGCTGTCGTAGGAGATGAGGTCGCTGCGGCATTTCCCACGCCAACCGTGGCAGCAGCTGCTGCAGCAGGGGCGGCAGCAGGGGCGGCAGCAGGGACGGCAGAAGTGGCAGGAGGGGCGGCAGCCGAGCCGGCGGCAGCAAGTGCAGCTGCAGCAGAGGCGGAAGCAGCAGGCGCAATGGCAGCAGACGAAGCAGCAGCCTTTGCCCACCCTGCATGGCGATATGCGGGGTCTCCAGGGAAAAAAGGAGGGCTTTCCACGTCTCAAAAGGGAGGGTACCTGTTTGGGTGGGCGGCGGACGATCTGAGTTACCGCGTGGGGTGGAGTGCGGCGGATAGGAATGCATGGCCGGTTGTAGAGGCAGGGAGGCGGGCAGCAGAGGCAGCAGCCAAGGGAGAGAAGGCGGGGGAGAAAGCAGGAGAGAGCAGCAGTAGCAGCAGCAGCAGCAGCAGTAGCAGTGGGCCGTTTCCCCCTGGGGCGCATAGAGTGGGTGGCCTCCTAGGTCGCATGGGGGTCAAAGCCGTGGCAGCGTCAGGGCACACTCTAGCAGTGACTGTGGACGGAACCCTCTACTCCTTCGGCCGCAACTGGGACAGCAAGAGGCGCAAGGCAGGGCAGCTGGGGCGAAAGGGGCCGTTTGGGAGGCCAGGGAGGGTGCAGGGGGTGGGAGGGCGAGTGAGGGCGGTAGCTGCTGGGAAGTTTCACTCGGTGGCGGTGACAGAGGAGGGGTTGGTGTACACGTGGGGGTGCAATGGGAGGGGACAGCTGGGGAGGCAGACGAGGAGCATGGTGAGTGTTGGCAGTTGACTTGAGAGAATGCACGTGACAAGGGCATCCAACCCCAGGCATGCATGATGTGACAGAGGAGGGGTTGGTGTACACGTGGGGGTGCAATGGGAGGGGACAGCTGGGGAGGCAGACAAGGAGCATGGTGAGTGAATGCGTATGGCTAGGGTATGGATGGTAGGGGCTTGCGGGATTTGAGGGTGTTGTTGATTCATGGGCGAGTGAGGGCCGTAGGGCGCATTACTCCCTTGCCCTCTCTGCCAGTGGCCAAGTCATCACGGGGGGCCTCAAACCTCTTCTCTCTCCTTCCTTCGCTCACCGCCTCCTCCTCTCTCTCCCTCCTCGTTTTGAGGCGCCTCAAAACTAGACTCCTTCCCTCACCGCTTCCTCCTCCTCTCTCTCCCTCCTCCCCCACCTGTGCAGGGCGATAGGCACGAGCCTGCACCCGTGAGGGGAGGGCTGCAGAACGTGGTTGTAGTGGCAGCAGCAGCAGGGCCGCACTACTCCCTCGCCCTCTCTGCCGGGGGACAAGTCTTCACGTGGGGTCTCAACCTCTTCTCTCTTCCCGCTCCCTGGACCTACCTGCATGACCTCTGTCACGCGCCTGCTGCTGCCACTAGCAGCAGCAGCGGCATCAGCAGCAGCAGCAGTGGCGGCGGTGGTAGAAGCAGTATAGAGGAAGAGTTGGCAGCAGCGGTGGCTTTGGCAGGGGAACCAAGGAGGGTGGGGGGGGCGTTGGAGGGGGAGAGGGTGGTGGAGATAGCAGCAGGTGAGGAGCACTGGCTGGCTCTCACAGAGAAGGGCCACGTGTATGCATGCAGGTGAGTGAGAGGCTCGGGGCGCAGGTGTCTTGAATTGTACATGGGACAACTTTGGAGGGGGAGAGAGTGGTGGAGATAGCAGCAGGGGAGGAGCATTGGCTGGCTCTCACCGACAAAGGCCATGTGTATGCATGCAGGTGAGAGTTTAAGGCTGGTGAAACTCATTAGAAATATGCCCTTCCGAGGCTGGTTGATCCACACAGCGTCAAAAGCACCCTGTGAATTTTCTTCCCTCTTTGAATTTTCTTCCCTTTTTGTGTTTCTCCTAAATCCCAGCACCGGTTTCAACACCAGTGGAGTCCGAATCAACCCTGCTCTGCACACCGCTCTCCTCGTGCACCCTACCTGCTTCTCATAGTGCCTGTTCTTCTTCCCCACCCTCCCTTCCTCCCTCCCTGCAGCACCGGTTTCAACGCCAGTGGAGTCCGAATCAACCCTGCTCTGCATGCCCCGCTCCTCGTGCACCCTACCTGCTTCTCATAGTGCCTGTTCTTCTTCCCCACCCTCCCTTCCTCCCTCCCTGCAGCACCGGATTCAACGCCAGTGGAGTCCGAATCAACCCTGCTCTGCATGCCCCACTCCTCGTGCACCCTACCTGCTTCTCATAGTGCCTGTTCTTCTTCCCCACCCTCCCTTCCTCCCTCCCTGCAGCACCGGATTCAACGCCAGTGGAGTCCGAATCAACCCTGCTCTGCATGCCCCACTCCTCGTGCACCCTACCTGCTTCTCATAGTGCCTGTTCTTCTTCCCCACCCTCCCTTCCTCCCTCCCTGCAGCACCGGATTCAACGCCAGTGGAGTCCGAATCAACCCTGCTCTGCATGCCCCACTCCTCGCCCAACCGATCCCCCCACCCTCTACCTCCATCTCCTCCTCCCTCGCCCTCGCCCGCTTCACCCTCCCTCACCGCGTCACCTCCGGTCCCCTTTCTTCCGAGCAGGCATCAACCATAGGAGCAGCAGCAGGGGCGTCCTTTGCCGTGCTCGCATCCTCCCAGCAGCTGTTGTCATGGGGTTCTCCTGGGCGAAAAGGAGCGCCAGCAGCAGCAGGAGGGGGGTACCCCGGCTCTGTGCTGCTGGGACGTACACAGGGGGCAGCAGAGGAGCCGAATGCGGTGGGGGTAGGGGAGGAGGGGAACAATGAGCTGGTGCAGATGGATGGGGTGGTGCAGGTGGTGGGGGGGGTGTCGTTCGTGATTGCCAGGACCAGCAAAGGGCAAGTCTTCTCCTGGTGAGTCGTGGTCTCACTCTGTGCCTAGGTTGCTGAACTTGGGTGTGTTCTGGTCACAGAATGGAGGGGTTGCAGGCAGATGCAGGTGGTGGTTAAGGTGGTGTGGGAGGTGTGTCGTTCGTGCTTGCCAGGACCAGCAAAGGACAGGTCTTCTCCTGGTGATTCGTGGTCTGTACAAAGCACCATTGTACCGTCTATCTGTGCCTGTGGTTGCTAGAGCCGGATGACTCTTGGGCACAGCGAGGGGCGGATGCAGGTGGTGGGGGGTGCGTCGTTCGTGCTTGCCAGGACCAGCAAAGGACAGGTCTTTTCATGCCGAGTTTCTGTCCCATCCTGTCTCTCTCTCACGTATACATATCTTACAACACACATACTCACCTCCACCCTCCTCCACCCACCTCCACCCACCTCCACCCACCTCCCTCCCCTCATCTCTCCCAGGAGCCACATCAAGTACCATCAGCTCGGCCTCTCAACCCAGAACCTCTGTGCGGTGCTGAGCACTCTACCTCGCCTCTGCACCCTCCCTTCTCTCAGCTCTCGCTCCCTTCCTCCACTTTCTCCCTTTCCCCCTCTTTTGCTCCCCCCTTCCCTTCCCCCCCTCCCCTTTCCCCCCTCCCCTTTCCCCCCTCCCCTTTCCCCCCTCCCCTTTCCCCCCTCCCCTTTCCCCCCTCCCCTTTCCCCCCTCCCCTTTCCCCCCTCCCCTTTCCCAGGGGCCACAACAACTTCCATCAGCTCGGCCGCCCAACCCAACACCCCGCCGCCGACCCCCATCCCGGTCTCGTGGGCGGCCTGGCTTGTCTGCACGTGGACACTGTAGCAGCGGGATCGCATCATGGGCTTGCTTCCGGGCGGGCAGAGCGGGGACGAGAGATAGAGGTGGTTGAGATGGAGCAGGTGGTGAGGGACGAATGGGAGCGAGTGAATGCGCACGGTGGGAAGGGCGAGAAAGGAGGAGGAGCACATGCAGGGGAAGAGCGAGGAGGAGGTATAGCAGGCGGAATAGGAGGAGGAATAGGAGGAGGAGGGGGGGGGAAAAGAGGAGGAGGAGAAGGAGGAGGGGGGTCGGTGTTTCCAGTGATGTACAACGAGCACCACAGGAGCGAGATAATGGAGGTGGCAGGGGAGTGGTTTAGCAAGCTCCCAGCGTCGGGGTACGACCCTGCCTTCCGCAACCCCTGCTGGAGGGACGGCTCTGGACTGCACTGCCTGCCCTATTTCCTCGTCATTGGGGCTCTCAGGTACGCACTTCGCTGCTCGGTGTTTGCAGTGATGTACATTGAGAAGCATGGAAGGGGGGGCGGTGTTTCCAGTGATGTACAACGAGCACCACAGGAGGGAGATAGTGGAGGTGGCAGAGGATTGGTTCAGCAAGCTCCCAGCATCGGGGTACGACCCTGCGTTCTGCAACCCCTGCTGGAAGGATGGTGGTGGTTCGTCTTCCAGCCTGCACTGCGTGCCTTACTTCCTCGTCATCGGGGCTCTCAGGTATGTATGTCCATGCCTTGTTCCGGACTTAGATTTTGCAGGGTGCTTTTGAGAATTCTAAAAAGCGCCTTGTTCCGGACTTCGATGGGTTTACCAAGCTCCCAGAATCGGGGTGCGCCCCTGCCTTCCGTGGCCCCTGCTGGAGGGACGGCTCTGGACTGCACTGCCTGCCTTTCTTCCTCGTCATTGGGGCTCTCAGGTAAGCACGCTTTCTTGTTTGAAGCAAGATGTCCAAGCTACCAGCATCGGGGTACCCAGGGGAATGCTGGTCCCCTGACTTTTGCAACCCTGCTGGAAGGTCCGATCAGTCCGCCCCAAGGGGTGAGTCACCCGGCCCGCCGCGACACGTGTGAAGCACTAAAGCACCGCAGCTCAACTCCCCGATTTTGCAGGGTGTTTTTGAGAATTCTCAAAAACACCCTGCAAAATCAAGGACACGTATGAAGCACTAAAGCACCGCAACTCAACTCCCCCTCTCCCCCCCTGCTGAACTCCTTATGCCAAACCTGCCCCTTCACCCCAAAACCACTTGCCCTGCAATCAGGTGTGGGGCTCGGGACCTTTACCATCGTTTAACCATGGCCCATCCGCCTGCCGTGCTGCCGGCCTCTATGGTCAACCTGGAGTGGTGAGCCTAGCCTCCTCTGCCTATGCCTTTGCCACGTGTGAGGAGTCTAATTGGTAGGCGCCTCAAAAATACCTGCCTGCCTCTATGGTCAACCTGGAGTGGTGAGTCCAGCCTTTGCCCTTGCCTTTGCCTTGGCACTTGCCCCCACCTTTGCCCTTGCCCCTATCTTTGCCCTTACCTTTGCCTTTGCCCATGCCCCACTTTTGTCTCTGCTTCTGCTGTCTCTTGGGCTCACTTCACTTTCTCTTTGTCGAACTCAATTGTTCTCACCTTTTCCTCTGACATTTCAAACTCCCTCGTGTGCAATGTGTATTTTTTAGAATTCTAAAAAAAACCCTTAACTAGGTGGGGCATGAGGGAGTACGACCCCATAGATTGGTACATGGACAAATTCCAGGAAGCAGCAGGTCATATAGCCTCACATCCCACTGCCATCCTCTTTGTGCGTGCGTTTGCGTGTCTGTGTGTGTCTGTGTGTGAGTGTGTGCGAGTGTGTGTGTGTGTGTGTGTGCGTGCATGTGTGTGTGTGTGTGTGTGTGTGTGTGTGTGTGTGTGTGTGTGTGTGTGAGTGTTGGCGTCTGTGATGCATGCTCCAACCGACTAGGTGGGATATGAGAGAGTACGACCCCATGGACTGGTACATGGACAAATTCCAAGAAGCGGCTGCCAAGATACAGGCGCACCCTGCAGCGGTGGTGGGGGAGGTGACCCCCTCGCTGCTCACCCACTCGGGCATTCTGGCTCGTGGGCCCCACGCCCGCAGCTTCCTGCTTCCCGAGCTCGTGTTTTCTGTTCTACCATCCGCACGCTTCATCGTTCTCCTGCGCAACCCCATCGACCGGTCAGTTCACTCTTGCGCAACCCCCTCGTTTCTTTCTCAGTGAACTCATACTGCTCCTCGCTGCTCACCCACTCTGGCATACTGGCTTGTCGCCCCCACGCCTGCAGCTTCCTCCTTCCCGAACTCATCTTCTCCCTTCTGCCTTCCGCACGGTTCATTGTGCTTCTACGAAACCCAATTGACCGGTCAGTACCCACCTTAGAGTGTTCCTGCAGCAGAATGGTTGCCCTTACAGTGCAGCTTCCTCCTTCCCGAGCTCATCTTCTCGCTTCTGCCGGTTCGCACAGCTCGTAGATACAGTGTTACCTGCAGTGAAAGGGCTTACAATAGACCACGGGCCCCTTTACCCTTCTCCCCCTTTCCCCCCCAAATCCATCAGCTGGTTCTCCTCCTGGCTGGCCGCTAAGGAGCCGGATGATTCCCACATGAGTACATTTTTTAGGCGCCTAAAAAACAGACGATTCCTGCATCAGCAGCAGCAGTGATCATTCTCCTTATTTAAGCATGGTTCTCTTGTTTCCACGCTCTTCTTTCCGCCCTCAATCCATCAGCTGGTTCTCCTCCTGGCTGGCCGCTAAGGAGCCGGACGATTCCCACATCAGCATCAGCATCAGCAACAGCAACGACAACGGCAGCGCAGCGGATGTGTTTTCACGGCACGTAGACGCGGTGTTACCCGCAATGAAAGGGTGTATGGTGGATCATTCCCCTGTCTACTGCACCCGCCTGCTCTTCCACTCCTTCCCCCATGTGTGCCGCAGCATGTATGCCTACTTCATTTCGGTAAGTTACTCTCATCTAAGTGTTACTCTCAGCATGTGAGCAATCATCTCGTCCACTCATCTCATTGTCTCGTGTCCTTTCCCCATGTGTTGAATTATTCCCTGCTAAGTATTATTGCATGTGTGCCTCCTTCATCTCAGTGAGTTCGCACATCTCTTTTATCTCAATTTCTCTCCTGCACCTCCATTTATTGCAATGCCTTGAGAATCGTGACTCGTTCTCATTTTCATCCCATTCCACTCCCTATCCATTTTTGAGGCGCCTCAAAACTAGACTCCTACCATTCCACTCCCTATCCATACCGTCTACCTTCTATACCTTCTACTTCTGGCAGGATTGGCTCGAAGTATACCCTCGGAAGAACTTCCTCTTTATAAAGTTCGAGGACTACGTATCTGATCCGAAGCTACACCTTATTCAAGCAATGAGGTTCCTTCAAGTGCCGTCAGAAGAAATCGATAAGATCGCTGAGGACATGTGGCACGACATTACAGGCCAAGCAGTCGTGGGTGCACGGCAGCAGGGGCAAGGGCAAGAAATACACCCTAAAACTAGAGAAGCTTTACGGGATTTCTTTGCTCCCATGAATACAGACCTGGCAAAGCTGTTGAGGGATCGCAATTTCTTGTGGAAATAAAGGTACCGGTAACGCATGTGCTGTGCGCTGCTTTTCAGTAGGCCACTTCCTCTCAACTGGGACAAAGGGCTGCACTGCACCATTTTATGAATACACCTTATCACAATACCAAGGCCTACAACAGGAATGGAGTGTGCCTTGATTCCTGTCTACCAGTATTTACGGTACCCACCCACCCACAATCACTGTTGAACATCTAGCACCAGTGTTGATATCATAGACCCGGAAGTACCACTAGCTGCAGGCAATTCACCGCACTCTATCCCCCCGACACCCCCATCCTCTCCGCCTCCCCTCCCTCCTCTTTTCCCCTCCCTCGTCCTGCTCTCTCCCATTCTCCCACCCCTCATCCTCGTCTGCATTGACCCACATCCTCGTCTCCCATTCTCCCACCTCTGGAGGAGCAAGGCAAGGACCCCTGACAGGCTGACACCGTGACCGCACCAACAAGTATGTGATTTCGCTTCGCCACCCTATCTCTTAGACTGTATGCTTGCTGCTGCCCCGCTGCCTCTGTTTCCCCCACATCCTGAAGCCTTCTGAGCACTTTGGCCAGAACATCGGATCGGATCGGATCGGTGATCCAGAGGGGATTATTTTGACACGGGATTTGGCGGGGAAGGGGTCTGCTGCTGCTGCTGCTGCTGCTGCTGTGGCAGTGATATCCCCGTTGTAGACGGATTCGTTAACAGTTCCACCTGCTTCTCCCCACGCCTAAGAAGGTATTCAATCCGCCCAATCTCCGTTCGCCCCACCGAATTCGCTGTTCTTCTAAACTCCGACTTCAAGTACGCGTGCAACGCAGCGGCTTCCTGAGGTGGTTTCGACCTCGCGGCGCGCAGCAGGCGGCGGTAAAGAGCGAAGACCTCGCGTTGGATTCCCGAGACCCTCATCGGAGCGTAGACGGGCTTGATTATGCCACGTGGTGCAACATCCGCGCTTCGCGGCGAGTCTATAAAGCGGGGAAAGGCCTAGCAACGCAGTCTATGTAGTAAGCCTGATTTCTTGTTTATGGCCTTGAAAAATCACTAAGGGCGTGTCACCAAAAATCGTTTTGGCAAAATACCATACTAAACCGCTCTAGAATTTGATTTGACCGTTTCAGAACGCAAAACATCTTTGCGAACCGCAATCGGACATACTTTAGTGACACGCCCTAACCACCACTACTCGCTAAGTAACACCAAATGGTAGGTGCTGTATCACTTCGGGTGCTGATTTCAAGGGGCGCAATTTGGAGCTGAGTCTGAAAATGTTCCGTAACAGGCTCCTAGCGTTTGGCGAATAGGTTACCCGCAACTGGCTTTCTCGGAAGTTGGAAACATATGTAACCAGCCGGCCACCTTCCCCCAAACGCCTGAACAGAGTAACGAGACGTAGCGAAAGTTGAAATGTCAGAACTGTTCGGGCGAAAGCTCTGCAGCGACCCCAGAGACTGCAGCAGAAAAACCCGGGTGCGCAAATCCTCAGTAACCATTTCCAGGTTAGGCATAATTCGACAGTGTACAGTAAGGTTAAAACCTCTTGTATATTTTGGAGCAAGAGGTACAGTACACCATTATTCCAGTAAACTTTTCATTCATTAGACGTCACGTGTTCATCTACAGGTCCATTGGTTCGAACACACGGGCAACGCCCCCAAATCACAGAGGCCCACTGTTCTCCAACAGTTACCACATCTGATACTGAGACCTCCAAATGTGCAGACGGGACGTTCTGAGGCCTCGCATGTTGCCCGAGGAACGCAAAAGAAGCAACAATGGTCACCCGCTTTAGACTGAAAAATGCCAATTAGGTAACTAGACTACCCTATATTTGCCCATTTTGCCCGTGAAAGTTTTGCGCTCGATTCTGAAGTACTCGCCTAAAAAACAATTAGGCTTGAAAAGGACTTCGTGTGTACTTCGAGATTGTTTCATGTTTCACTTTACTGACATATCTGACGTGTATCAATCTGGTGTATTTACAAGACACCTCAAACAGAGTTTACCCTACCCAACCATTCTAGCTGGCTATTAGACCACTTTGAAACGCAGAGCAAGTTACTACACCGCAGTCAGACGCATGATTTGGACCCGCCCTTCATGATTCTTGTACCACTACAGCCCGTGCTACGAGCTCACTGCTTTTCCCAGATTCGAGCGACCACACCTCACGAGCAGATGCGAACAGTTGATGGCTCCCCCACCCACTGAGCAATCGCCGCATTCTTCGGCCAGCTGATTACTCAAAGCTTATGTCTTTAGTCGTCGGTTTCTAAGGTCCATCCAGGGGTTGATTATTATACTTTATTTCGTCCTCGTATCGAAACCCTAACAAGCCACCGCCATGTTTTGGTCATCGCGACACGAGTACCAGCCGGTTGCGACGACCACTGACGATGGCACCGCCTCGTCCTCTTCGCAACTCGGGGAATCCGGAAGCCCGTTAAGATCAGCATCAGGCACCGCATCGCCGTCGTCATCAGGGCCGCCTAAGGCGCAGCAATGGGTGGTTGTGCTGATCGCCGTCGTTGGCGGGCTCGCGTTGGCGATGAGCCTAGCCGCTGACGTCATGCGGGTAAAGGTAAGGCGTATGTGAGAGTATGGAGAGCAGGGAAGGACTATCAGAGCCACCAGCATAAGGAGTCTATTTTTGAGGCGCCTCACGACGGTACGAAAATAGACTCCTCACGCATGGTTTACTCATTGAGAGTATGGAGAGAAGGGAAGGACTCTCGGAGCCACCAGCATCAACGATCAGTATGTTTCCGGAAGAGCATGGAGAGCAGGGAATGATTTGCTCTCGTCAACGACGACTGCCGTCAGCCCCGTCGTTGTCGCAACCTTCTAAGGTGCAGCAATGAGGTTGTGCTGATCGAAGTCGTTGGCGGGCTCGCATTGGCCATGAGCCTAGCCGCTGACATCAGCCGCGTGAAGGAGAGGCACCGGGAGGCGTTTCTGTTTCTGTTCTTATTCGTCCGTACCAGGTCATGGCTGTTTTAAGCCCCCAAGACTGATTGGTTAGAAGTAGAAATTCAGTTTTAAGACGGGGCATGGCCCGGGAGGTTTGCGTCTAAGGGCAGAGTGATGCCAGTTTCCCCTAGAATCAGTAGCCGTCATACATTACATCCTGTACGGGCTGAGGTGCTGTCCCTTTTCAAGGGTAACCGTTTCAAAGGTAACCGTTTCACAACATTTTTGCAGGCGCACTCTTGTGCCCTGTTGTCCCCCCCCCCCCCCTTTCCCCTCCAGTAGTCGGCCAGCCACATGCTCGACGCGCAGAACGAGCTCCACTGCGTCTACCCCAGCAACCCATTGGGGGGCTACGCGGTGGCTCTCTGGTTTCACCGCCTAACACCGTGTTTCACAACCCTCATGCATCCCTCCCCTTCCCCCCCTCTTTTCCCTCCAGCAGTCTGCCAGCCACATGCTCGACGCGCAGAACGACCTGCACTGCGTCTACCCCAGCAGCCCTTCCGGCGGCTACGCAGTGGCTGCTGCCTTCCTGCTGATCGTGGCTCAAGGCGTCACCTTGGTGCATGGGGGCACCTCCTGGTTCTACGCGTCTAGGCTGGACACGCGGCGCAACCGGAACCTTCTTCTCGTCGTGCTCCTCACAAATCTGTACGATAATAGCACCAATATGCTACCTATCACACTGGTTATCACGCTCTGGTTGAGTTACCTTGCCTTGTTTGCACTGGTTTCAGTGTGTGACCATTCCTTGTGAGCTACCTTCCCTTAGTTGTGAGCCTTCCGTCCGACCCCTTCACTCCAATTCCCCTCAACTCCTTCTTCTCCGTCACTCTATCCCTCAACCCCTTCTTCTCCGTCCCTCCATCCCTCAACCCCGTGGCAGGATCTTTCTTGCTGTCACCATCGTCACTCTATCAGTATCATCCCTGGACAACGCTCACCCCGGCACATATACACTCCGCTCCTCCTCCTCCTCCTCCGCCCTTTCCCCCAACCAATCCCCTGACCCCTGCCCGGTGGCCGATTCCGCCCTCTTCCTCTCCGCCTCGCTCCTCTGCCTATTTACTGTGCTCCTCATGGAAGCTTATTATCTTGCCGCCATGCGCACGCTACAGTATGCGTGGATGATTTCAAGGTATTGCACCGTGCGGTCGGTGCACCTGGAGGCGTTTCAAAGAGAGGCGATGAGGGCCAGTGTCGTGCCGATCGGGTCTCCAAGATCGGATCTAGAGTCGGGGGAGGAAATCAAGGAGGCTTGAGGAGAATGTTGTGGCTTCACAGATCTTATCTATAGTCTGGGTGGGTGGGAAGAAGGAGGAGGCTTGAGTTACCCAGTGAGTGTATCTGCTGGCGCTCCGCTGGAAACACACTAGCTGTCTCAGAGTAAAAGTTTACTAGAATGGGGAATATAGGTTGGTTTTGTTCAACTGGTTGTACCCTCTAAAAGCATGCACGTATCTAGCCTATTATAACATTTACCAAAATGTTTGACACACCCCCTAGGCCAGATGAGGGGCAGTGCCTAGAAGTCGACACACAGCTCAGGGTGGCACTACTAGTCCAACTTCTGGGGCAAGGGTCCGAAGTGTCAAACATGTGTATTTGTCATGTTTGTATAGACTGTATAGAGTCACCTCTTAGAGGATACAAAACTTAGATATATTTGTGTGTACTCTCACTTTACCATTATTCAATTATTCTGATATGGTATCACGCGTAGGTAGGATCCCCCCCCCCCCCCCCCCCCCCACCTACCACTTCCGCTCATGCCCCCTAGCGCCCCTCCTGGGCCCCGTCGCGCTCCTCCCAGGCCCCCCTAGCGCACCTCCTGGGCCCCGTCGCGCTCCTCCCAGGCCCCGTAGCGCCCCTCCTGGGCCTCGTCGCGCCCCTCCTGGGCTTCGTAGCCTCCCCTGCTGCGTCAGGCGTAGGATCCCCTGCTTTGTGTAGTCTTGGTGCTTCTGCCGTCGTTCCGTCGCCAGACCCCTCGGCTTCGCTTTCCTTCACCTTGGACTCTGGCGCCTCTCGGTGTTTCTTCCGCGACTCCACCACCCTGACGCCGCTTCCTGTTCCTGCTGCCGTTTCTCTTGCTGACCCCTCCGGCGGTCCGGTAGTCGCCCGCAGTTCCACCACCCTTCCCTGTCCGGCGGTTCCTTCGGGCTCTCTTACAGGTCTGCATATCCCCTCGTTCTCCAGGAACCTAGTTGGTGTCGGCTGCCTCCAGGACCTTGGCGTCACCACTACGTTCCCTGGTTACGAGCGGTATGCTGTCTGTACCGAGGCCGCCACTGGTGCCCCCCTGTCCACGTTCCCCCGGGACCCGGTGTCCGGCCTGTTCACTCTGGACACCGTGCCCCCCCCGGCTGGAGCGCCCCCTCAGGTGGCTGTGTCTACCCAGGTTGCTGCTGCCTGCTCCTGTCGCTCCCTCACTCACCCGACCCTCCTGTGGCACCACCGCCTAGGTCACCCTGCGCTCCCGCGTCTGCGTCACATGTCCCAGCACGGTCTTGTCCTTGGTCTCCCAGGTTCACTCCCCGCGTTTCCCTCCTCCCCAGCTCCACCTTGCACGCCTTGTGTCGAGGGTCGGCTTCGCCGTGCCCCTCACTCCTCCTCGTTTCCCCCTACCGCCGCGCCGCTGCAGACCCTGCACCTGGACGTCTGGGGCCCCGCCCCCGTCCCTGGGCCGCGTCGTGAGCGCTACTTCCTTGTGCTTGTCGACGACTTCACTCGTTACACCACAGTCTTTCCCCTGGAGCGCAAGGCCGACGTGCCTGGCGCCCTCATCCCCTGGCTTGTCTCTGCGCGTGTCCACCGCGGTCTCCCTGTCTTGCGTCTTCACTCAGACCGTGGTGGCGAGTTTGCCTCAGGTGTCCTTGGTCGCTTTTGTCGTGCGGAGGGCATCACCCAGACGTTCACCCTACCGGACTCCCCACAGCAGAATGGGGTCGCTGAGCGACGCATCGGCTTGGTCATGGAGGTCGCTCGCACCTCCATGGTCCATGCCGGTGCACCCCATTTTCTGTGGCCGTTCGCTGTGCGCTATGCTTCTCACCAGCTTAACCTGTGGCCGCACCCTCAGCAGCCGCATGTTTCGCCGACCCGTCTGTGGACTGGGTCTCCTGGTGACGCGTCTGCGTTCCACGTCTGGGGCTGCCTTGCTCACGTCCGTGCCTCCGGCACGGACAAGCTCACTGCCCGCACCCTTCCCTGCGGCTTCCTCGGTTTTCCCCTTGACGCGTCCGACTGGCACTTTTACCACCCGCCGTCTCACCGCTTCTTTCACTCTCGTGACGTCACCTTTGACGAGTCCGTCTCCTACTACCGCCGCTTCCCCCACCGTGGTCCCCCGGTTACCCCCCCCCTGTTCCTCGTCACCCCTTCCCCGGTAGTCCCTGCCCCTCCTCCTCCTCCTCCCCGTCCCGCCCCCTCTGGTGTCTCCCACGTCACCCCCCTTCCGTCCGTGGACCCGGTTGAGGAGTCTTCTGACTCTGGTGGCCCTCCGGTGTAGTCCTCGCCGGCCGCCCCTCCCCAGGTGTCCCCTCCCCAGTCCCCTCCTCCGCCGTCCCTGCCGCCACTGCAGCCGTCGCCGCCGCCGCTGCCGCCGCCGCCGCCGCAGTCGCTGCCCCCGTTCGCTGACTCTGGGGGTGCTCGTCCCGGTCGCCCTGAGGGTGGTCCCTCTGGGGGTGCGGGTGTGGAGAGTGCCGGTGGTAGCCGAGGAGCAGCTTGCGGTCCAGGTGTCGCCGTTGTGCCGCCGCAGCAGCAGTCCCCGCCGGTGTCCGCCCTTCGCCTGCTCGGCCTTCCGTCCCGCGACCCTGCATCGGTTCCTCCCCGACCGTCTCCTCCTCTTCCTGTCTACGGCCCTGTTTTCCCTCCGCCGGACTCGTCCCCGGCCCGTCTCCCCCCTCGTTCCCCTCCTGTGTCCCCTCCCCTGTCTCCTGACCCGACTCCTCCATCGCACGTCTGGTCTCACCGTCCCTCCCGTGCTCGTCCTGCCTCGCCTGTCCTGCGCTCCCACCCTATGTTGCTTCGTTCACACGCGTCTCGTCCTCCCCTTCTGCCGTCGCCTCCTCCGTCCTCCCTTGTTGTTGCGCCCCCCCCGCTGTCCGACTACCTTCGTGCCGCTCGTCCTCTCGTTCCTCGGGTCCTTGCCTCTCTCGTTACCGACCCGTCTGTTCCAGTCTCGTGCCTTGACGCTCTTGTCGCTGCTGTCGCTGACTTCGCCTCTACCCGCCGCCTTGACTACGCCACCGCTCTGGTCTCTGACCCTGCCTGTCCTCCGTCTGTCGGGGGTGCTCCTGCCCTTGGCAGTGACGTCCTGGAGGACCGCCAGTTCGAGCTTGCTTTCCTCTCCGAGGCTGCTCCCCATCTCTGTTCCATGCTGCTAGTCCCTGAGGGTGACCCAGACGCTTTCGACATCCCGACCCCTCGCACTTACGCTGAGGCGACTTCGGGACCCTGGGCCTCACAGTGGATAGCTGCCATGGAGCAGGAGATGGCATCTTGGAGATCCACCGGCACCTTCGTCGACGCAGTTCCCCCACCTGGGGTGAACGTAGTCGATGGCCGCTGGCTCTTCAAGGTGAAGCGCCCTCTTGGAGAGCCGCCTGTCTTCAAGGCGCGCTATGTGGCTAGAGGCTTCAGTCAGCGCGAGGGGGTGGACTTCTTCCAGACTTTCGCTCCGACCCCGAAGATGACTACTCTTCGGGTTCTGTTACACCTAGCTGCTCAGCGTGACTACGAGCTTCACTCCCTCGACTTCTCCACTGCCTTCCTTCAGGGCAGCCTACACGAGCAGGTCTACCTGCGCCGCCCTCCGGGCTTTACTGGCACCTTCCCTCCTGGGACCCAGTGGCTCCTGCGGCGCCCCGTCTACGGCCTGCGCCAGGCTCCCCGTGAGTGGTACGACACTCTGCGTGCTACGCTTGCTGACCTGCAGTTCTTTCCGTCTTCTGCAGACCCTTCACTCTTCGTTCGTGCTGGCCAGACTCCGTTCTACATCCTCGTTTACGTCGACGACCTGGTCTTTGCCACAGCAGATAGGGACGCGCTGGCCTCCGTGAAGGCAGAGCTGCTGAAGAGACACACCTGCACTGACCTTGGAGAACTGCGCCGTTACCTTGGCTTGCAGATCTCCAGGGACAGAGCTGCGCGCACCATCACCCTGACTCAGTCACACTTGGTGCGCCAGGTCCTTCAGAGGTTCAGCCTTCAGTTCTCCTCTGCACAGCCCACCCCTCTGCCTGTAGACCACAGGCTCTCCGCTCCAGTGCCTGAGGAGTTGGTAGAGCCCAGCGGCCCCTACGCAGAGCTGGTGGGTTGCCTCATGTACCTGATGACTTGCACTCGCCCAGATCTCGCATACCCTCTCAGCATCCTGGCTCGCTTTGTGGCCACAGGCAGACACCGACCGCAGCACTGGTCTGCCGCTAAGAGGGTTCTGCGTTATCTTGCTAGTACATCGGGCATGGGGTTAGTGCTAGGAGGACGCAGGCCAGTGGTCCTTACTGGGCACACAGACGCTTCGTGGGCAGACGACGCTGAGACACTCCGGTCTACCCAGGGCTACTGCTTCAGCCTTGGCTCAGGTGCCGTCTCGTGGAGAGCTACTCGCTCCTCGTCTGTTGCACAGTCCAGCTGTGAGGCTGAGATCTACGCCGGTGCCATGGCGGCACAGGAGCTCCGCTGGCTGACCTTCTTGCTCACTGACTTAGGTGAGCGGCCTAGCTCTGCCCCGGTCCTGTTCGCTGACAACAGGGCCATGATCCTCCTGTGTCAGGAGCCTCGACTCGAGGGCAGAGCGAAGCACATTCAGCTGCGGTACTTCCTCCTGCGTGAGCTACAGCAGCGACGTCAGGCTCGCGTAGTACACTTGGCCTCAGGTGCCAACACGGCTGATATCTTTACGAAGGCGCTTGCGCCTAAAGATCATCAGCGGCACTGTGTACAGCTTGGTCTAGTTCCTGTAGCCTCTCACTTGCTAGGACCTTGACTTTGTACTGTCCTTTATATGTATACTCAGACTGGACTTGTGTCCTCTCCCAGTGGCTGGACTAGTAGTGCCGCCCTGCTCTTGTGCTTGCCTTGTCTGTACTCCTTCTGACCGGTCGCTCAGTCCCTTGCCTCAGAGGTTGGACTAGTAGTGCCGCCCTGAGCTGCTTGTTTAGGGTATTCCCCTATGCAGTCTAGGGGGTGTGTCAAACATGTGTATTTGTCATGTTTGTATAAACTGTATAGAGTCACCTCTTAGAGGATACAAAACTTAGATATATTTGTGTGTACTCTCACTTTACCATTATTCAATTATTCTGATACGAAGACCAGTCAGCAAGGGTACAAACTGAAATAAATCGTCTGATGTTGTAGTAGACTAAGTATAAAACTATAAACACGAACACTTGGCAAATCCTCAAGTGTTGGTCCAGGATCTTTGCTGGAATGGTAGACTAGTAAGACAGCGGAAGTCTTGTAAAATGTTAAGGTCAAGG